TTGTCACTTCTTCTATGGTTCTGCCCCTTTCCTTCTATTTCGGTGGTGATTGAGGATGGTGATGGAGGTGAAGGTTGTGATGATGATGAGATGCAAGGAGATGGTTTAGATCTACAGAAGGGAGAAGAATCAAGAGAGAAGAAGAGGTGGGTTCTCCGAGAACCCAGATTGAGAGAGGAAAAAAAAAAAAGAATGAAAAAGGTGAGAACAGGTGAGAGTAAAATGGAGACTAACAGAGTGTGTGAGAGCTAACAAAAAAGAGAGTATGTAACGGAGTGTGGTACGGATTTGTGTATGTCAATTATAGTTCTTTTATTTGATAGTGTTTATGGAGTGTGTCTATGAAAAAGCAAAAAAAAAAAAAATTTGTTGCATAATAAAAATTAACTTATTTTCATTCTTTAAAACACCTCATTTATATATTATGAGAGTTGAATTTATAATATTTTATTTTTTATAAAAATTATTATTAGATTATATAGATAATTGACTAAATACAGTTAAATTAAAAAACGTCATGAATTTAAACTTAAATCTTATAACAAATCTCATAAATCATAATTTGAAATCTGAAAACATCTCTTTCTACTCTCTTTTTTTTCCTTCCTGTATACTATAAGTTCTATAATTTGAATCCCCTTGAGCTCTAACCGCAGATTTCGCAGCCCCAAACGAAAATCAAAGATGGCTGCACCGACGACAGATACGTGGATTCTTCTCCATGGATTCAAATATGCCGATCCATTAGAAGGAGCAAGTTCCCATCTTGTCAAACAAATGAAACAAAGGCAAGGTTCACCATCAAACGCAACGCCAATGGCTCCCAAGTAGAGATGTACAAGGACCTACTTAGAAAACCAGCCTGAAAAATTCACTTTAATGCAATCAGGCTGCGCTCTAATCAGCTCCTCCTTGACGTCCTCAGCGCACGAGGCGACATCTATCTCACTTGGGATCGGCTCTCAGTCTTGACACTCTAAACCCAACTGAGGGCTGCAAGACCTTTGGATACTTGCCATTTCATTGCGCCCTCGCTACAGGGGATGTTGCAGGTAATTTCATCTACATTTTCCCCATATTCGGCGGAGACAAGGAGACCTAAGTGGTATGCATCTAGGATACAACAAGGCAAAAAGAGTTGGGCAATTGTTCCTATTGCGAGCTAAATGTTGGGAACATATGTATCTCTACAATCCAGATCAAAATTCCTGGAAAAATTGTTGCAATTTTGTACTTCCTGAACGTAGATCATCAGCACTCCCTCTACATGCAGTTTTAAACGGAATACTGTATTTGTTTTGCTGTGACTGGTTTAATCCTGACCTCACTATTTTTCTCCCTCTACGACTTTTGCACTGGTGAGCTTCTTGTCTACGACCTTTTCCATAAGTTGGAAAACTATGGACCTCGAAACAGATTCTGAACTGTTTCTAGTTACCGTTGCTGATCAGAAACTCTGCTATACCTGTGGGATAGAGTTACTTTTCTAAACAAAAAAAGAACCCTCTGCTTGGCCAAGGCAGAGGTTTATTTTGATACTCTCTCTGTGACTTTTACTGCTACTCATTCAGAGTAGGAGCTTGATCTGAATGCCCATGGTTTATACAACTGTTTTCCATTGTTAGCAAATGCAAAAGGTCTGGACAACTTGAGAGAACGTTATATATATATTTTTTATTTATTCTTTTTCGGTTGGAAATCATAAAGAGGAGCAGTTTGAAAAATGGATCACCTTTTCTTTCAAAACATGTAGCCTACCCATTATCTAGTTCCTTTGCAGAATTTCTACACTACACTCCATAACTATAACAGTAATTTTTATTTTGATTTCTCTCTACTTGTTTACAGAATTTAGTTTGTATAATGTTAACCCTTTATAGAAACTGTCACAACCCTAGACTGTTTTTTGATCCACCTTTTTACGTTGCTAGTCGGATTGCTTGACATATGTGAGCAATACTAATACTGAAGCTTTCTACTATAACTAAGAACTCCAACATTTGCATTGGCACAGTTAGTTCCAAAACCTATGTTCCGAAGGTAATGTTGTTAGAGAATTTTAAGAGAACAAGGTGGCTAAAGCAAAAAATATATATAAAAAAAAAAATCCCAAAGATGTTGATATTAACCGTCTTTATTTAAGGTGGATGTCACCAAGTATTCTTTCAATGCTGCGAATCATTTCCATCAGTAGCTCAAACATTTTCTCAATTCATAAATACTTTCTCGTGTTTGAACTTCTATGAGGATGTTTCATGGTATTCACAGAATATTTGATGACATTCATTTCACCTTGAATAGAGGTGGTCTATATCAACTATTTTTAGGATTTTCTTTTTCTTTTTCGCTTTAGCCAACCAGACTCTCTTCAAATTCCTTAAAAAAGTCTTCAAAACATAGATTTTGGATCCAATTATACCAATACCCAACTTTTTTAAGGAAACAGTTGTAGCTCTTCGTTATAGCAGAATGCCTTTTCATTATTGCCCACTTATGTTAAGCGATTCAACTTGCAATGCAAAAAGGGTGGATCAAGGAACAGTCTTGGTTTGTAACACTTTCTATAAAGGATAGATTAAATTTTGACTTATTTGAATAAGTACTGAGAAATCAAAATAAACATTACCTGTTATAGGTATGGAGCATGCTGTAAAAATTTTGCAGAGGAACTAGAAAATAGTAAGGCTACTTGTTTTTAAAAGGAGGGTGGTCCATTTTTTCACACTAGTTCTCTATAAAATTTCCACCTGAAAATAATGAATGAAAAGACTTAATTAATTTCTCTCAAGTTGTTCACACCATTTGCATTTGCTGCTACCAGATCCACAAGGAAATTCTAAGGAGTTACCAATGATATGAGGAGTTGCCAAACAAGAGGGAGGAGTTGGAGTCGCTGGAGAGCAGATGGAAGGGCAATTAAGCTACGGTCTGGGCCTAGCTAGTGGTTCATTGAACCCCATGGAAGTAAATATTTAACCTTTGTGGCCCACATATAATTCACTCTACTCTCCCGGATTAAGCTGGGCTAACATTAACAAATGTTGTCAATTTTTGGGGTTCCATATATACAATCCATGCATTCTCAATTTAGAAGAGAGAAAAAGGGAAACCCTATTGTTTCAGTGTTTCTCAGGGCTCCCCTAATTTCAGGTTAGTTCTTATTTAAAGTAATGTTCTTTTTTGCTCCTTTTTTTTTTTTTTTTTGCTTCTTCTCATTCTTGTTTAGCACCTACGTCAGAGATCAAAGGTATTTGTCCACCAAAATGATTGGGGTTTTTAGATTCAATTTTCTTAATTAATTGTTTCATGGCTTATTTAAAGATATGGTACTAACAATGGAAGAGATGAAAAAATTGACTCAATGGCATTAGAGAGAGACATGATGTTAGCCGGGAAATGAAAAGGTGGAGGTGAGTGAAGAGAGGCTAGATGGTCTGTCATTTCTCGTTTGCATTATGTCTTGCGAGGACAAAATGTGCTCTTTTTTAGGCTTTTCTTTGGTTTGTTGGATCAAATTTGGCAAGTTTAGATATTCTGTTTTAATACTGTTCTTTAGAAGAATAGATACTGAATTGCTAAGGAATAAAAATTGTTGGGATTAGTTAGAATGATACATTCAAATATTTTTGGATCCAAATGTAGATATCAACGCTAGAGGTAAAGACAATAAAACAGAATGTAATAGACTAAAATTGTAGACAGTATCATGAATAGATAAGTCTAACTTAAAATAAGGTTTCATAATATAATACTTGAAATTTAAGTCAGGTACTCAGAAGTTTCCATGTAATTAGCTTAAGAGAGAAACAATGCATAACCATCCAAGCATTTAATAAAATTAGAAAAAAACATCAAACTAGGGTCAATTACCCGAACGCTTCCAGGTAAGAATCCTTTTGCACATGCCTTATAATCAAACACATTCACGTAAAAGAGAAAAAAAAAATATAATTTAAATTTTATTTTAAAATGTTATAACAATATCATTGTAGGAGACTCACCCCAACGATTGAGAAACTCTGTTAATTCCCTAATAAATATAACCCGAAGCATTTATCCTTATATCAAGATGTGGTTCTAAGACATCAATTGGAATAGGGTTTGGAGCAGGAGCTGCTCTAGCTCCTGCTTGTGGTCTTACTACCTCTGTAATCAGTTTTGGTTATTATCCTAGGGCTGTGCTTTCAATCCCCGTTCTGCATGCACGTACGTGGAAGTGGAAGCACAGCCCTAGGAAAATAACCAAAACTGATTACAGTGGTAGCACAGTTTTCGTTGCTGATTACAAGTTCTGCTACATGTGGTTTAGAGGTATTTTTCTATGCAACAAAATAACCCTTTACTTGGCCAAGGTAGAGCTTTATTTTGATATATACTCTGTCTGGGACATTTACTGCTACTCATTCAGAGAAGGAGCTTGATCTGGATGCACATGCTTTATTCAACTGTCTTCCATTGTTAGTAGTGCCTTTTCCCTCTTTTTGTTTATTTCCTAAATAAATCAAAATTTTAGATACGTTAGTCGGCTGTGGGAACTGATTTATCTCTTTTGGTTGGTACTGTAGTGATTCTGTTCTTTATCAAAAACCAAAAGGAGAATGCAGACAATAGTAAGTTTCACTGCTTCATTCCTTTGTAATTTACATGCCTATGGTTGCATGTTCGTGCAACTTGCTGCTGTTTTAGTTTATTTCCTATGGAGGTGTTAGATATATTTGTCGGCTGTGCACTGACTTATCTTTGTCCGTTGGTAGTGATTCATATCTAGAATCTAGATCAAGGCAAAGAAGATGAAGCAGAAGACTTGTGCATACAACACTAGGCTTAGGAGCATTTATCTGTAATTTAGATACTCTTTATCCACTTTTTGTTTAGCCCAATAATAGCAAGTCTTTTCCCTAGAAGTAGATTTGTGCGTTTGGTCCACAGATGGGTTTATTTCTGACTAATTTTTTAAACATGGAAATAACATGGGATACATATACTACCTGAAATTGTTGAATCCAGTTTGTGAGTAGTTGCACAGGAATAAGCAAGATGTTGAATGAGGTTCACTAATTGTTTTTTTGAGCAGAATCATTTACGTATTGCATAGGAATATATGAGTAAGGAACGCTAAACTTCTCCTGTTACAATTTGTACAACATGCATTCCTGCTCAGTAACAATAACGATGATAAATTATGAGTCCAACTGTGAACCAACGCAGTAGAATCTAATCCCAGCTTTCTCAACTTCACACCTTGAAAAAGGGAGATTTAGCACAAAACACAACTAATTACGTTAATAAGACTCGAGCAAATTGGTTTTTTTTTTTTAAGGTTATAGACAGTGTTAAGCAATAGTGAGCAGTTTGCCCACAACTAAGAGCTTAGACTATTTAGGCAGTGCCTGGACCACTTAGATGTTTTTTTTTTTTAATAATTTTAAGAAAATAAAAAATTTAAAAAATTTAAAATTTACAAAATTAAGGAAATTAAACATTTTTCTATTTATTATCGTGTATGAAAAGCACAATTTAAGAGAATTATTTAACATTTAATTTTTTAAATATAATTTCTATAATAAATGATGTCATTTTATTATATTAAAAAAATATATACAGAGGCGTTAAGCACCATTAACCATGCCTAATTGTATCTGGACACACTTAATTAACCTGTGTAGCGCAAACTACATTAAATTTCTACCTAAAGACTGATGGGAGTCGAAGGCACCAAATAGAGCCTAGCTGGTGCCTAAGCCCACTTTTTACAATGTTGAATTTCTTTTATTATTAGTATTATTATTTCGCAGGATAAAATGCTCGAGGTAGTACAGCACCATTCAGGTCCTCCACTGGATAATATATCAAGACAAGCTTTACTTATCTATCCATGGGGTTGGACCAAGCAATTCCGCAATCACACAACATAACTTCAGAAAGGTTAAAAACAAAAAGCTGAGAAACTGAGTATTAATAAAGGAAACGCCAGGTTCACAACGGATATTAACAACTGCTGTATTACACAGGCTGACTGGTTCACCGCAATGTATTAACAACCATTAGTCGGATCTTAAACGAGTTAAAGCAGTTCAACCATACAATTTTTACAGATGAGTCAGCTGATAACTTCGAAATACCAACATTTGGCAAAAGCAAGTTTAGCATTTTACAAGATGTAGGAAACTGGCCTTTACCAGCTGGGTCAAGGATAGCTGATCTAACTCTAGACAAGAGGTGGGAACTGCTTGGCCTGTTGGCGAACCCTTCTCTTATACTCTGCCACATCCTGCATATGAGAAAGATAAAGCATAACAAAAAAGAGGAATTGATTCTAATCAAGGAGCACCAATTGGGAAGTTCACTTTCCCATTCATTTCTGGCAAAAAAAAATGACTCCATGACCTTATGCATTTTAGAGACAAAGTTTGTGCAGATCTTTCAACTGGCTAACTAAATATATCCAGAATATGATGATATATTTTAATTCTAACTTGTACAAGATCTAATCACCACCTAACATACAGGCTCTTCCAACTACAACTAGGATCATGAGAGAACACAGAAACATCATAACTCATAAGGGACATACCTGGATGAAAAGGTGATAGCCTTCAGTTTGTGCAGGATCAGCAGGATTTGGTGAGTCTAGCAAATCTTGAATACCAACAAGAATCTGCTTGACGGTTATAGCTGGTCTCCACCCCTATGTACACAACAAGCTGAACACATTACTTTAAAGTTGAACAAATCCTACCACAGCAGCTCAGAAAAGAAACGTTCATTTCTTCTTTTTTTTTTTGGTTTAAAATCGGCCAAGGAAGTTAGTTCTGAGCTAGTATAGAGGTTTGAACCCCTCACATTAACCCATAATTAGGGTGCTGAAGTTAGTGGATACCAATTAAGCTCTTGGTCAAAAGCATTTGTTGTTAAAACTAAAGAAAAGAAAATACTTACACTATCCTCATTAAGGATTGACAGGCAAACAGTACCAGATGGGTAGACATTTGGGTGGAAAAAACCTTGAGGAAGTTTACACTTGGGAGGCTTGCTGGGGTAATCTTCACTGAAGTGGAGTGTGAGAGGGAAGTAACCACCCTCCCAATCTGTCTGTAAAATACAAGGTAAAAGGAGTTACAACTTTGTATTTATCTTTTCCCCAAATTTAAGCAAGATCATCATAAAGCACCATGACAAAAAGGAAAAAGCTATTTCAAGCCCACAATATTAACAGCGAAATTAAAACTTGAAACTGCCTTGCCTTGAAGCCTCAAGAACATAAAATATGTAATATCTTTAAAACAAAACAGCCTTAAGAACTTAACATATCTAATATCTTTAAAACAAAACAGGGGCAATTAAGAATAGAGGTGCAAGGTCTACCATGCTTTATGGTGTATAACTCCAGAAGTTGAGCTATTAAATTGTCAAGTGAGTCAAGACCAGTGCTAAGAAGATATTCCTATACTGAAATCTGACTCAACTAGGTACCGGACTAAAACGATCAAATGCTATGGTAAACAAATGGCCAGTATGATCAAAGAGATTGTTCAACCGGTCAAATGAGAACAACAAAATTAAAAAAGCAGCACAAGATGACTATCACAGCAAGTGTTTCATGTTAAACCAAGCCTTTGTACGTTGATGTAAGAGAGAAGCAAAATACTGATAACTGATTTCAATGACAAGAAAGACACATACGGCAATGAACAATTTTCAATTAACCAAGAATCACAACATCCTACCAGGCTGGTAGAAGATAAATACCAGTCCAAACTTAGTAACACGCACATACAACATAATGCAGGCACTTATCTGACCATTTAAGAATCAAGAGGCTCCTCTTTGAATCTTCCAGACAGATAGCACTAGCATAAGGAAAGAAGCTCACCTACCCATTTGCCAAAAGCACTACCAATTAGCAGACCAAGTTATTACCAACAGGATCATGCAAAAGTTTCATCAACTCAATCCTAAACTCTAATCTTCAACTTCTATTTCCACATATTTCAGATTGACACCCAAATGCAATCATAGGCTTAAAGGCACCATAACCACAGCATAAAAAGAAACAATAATGATAAAGACATCAAATGAACTCAGCAAGCAGAAGCAAAGCCAAAGTAGAAAAAACCATAGAGAATCCTCAGACTTACTTACCCCGGCTTTGCCAGGAATAGTACAATGCCAAACCATCAAATTCACAGTCCCATCAGGCTGCATCTCCGGCTTCGCAACAAAGCCCTAAATTACGCCAATCCAAAAAAAAAAAAAAACAAAAAACAAAATCAACACAGAAAGCGCATGTAGTAATTGCATTAAAGCAAACCTTTAAGTACATATATATAAGCACACAAACAAACACGATCCATTCCACAGTGAGAGATGAGTTTGTACAAACATGAGGATGGTTCTTCCGCCATGCTTTCCGTTCCTCAGCTAGTCGACCACGCGCGATACCACCCGACATAACTCTGCAATCCTCTCCTCTCTTCTCTGGCCAAGAAACAAGCTCAGGTCACCGTCTATATTTCTCACGGTAGCGTCTGCAGCACAGAAATGGTCAAAACAATTGTTCAGAATTTGTTTCTGGTTATGCCTTGGAGAAAGGTTGCTTGGTCCCAGTGCCGGAAATGTACGGTCCAGATTTGATCTGGACGAGGTACGCTGTTCCTTTTAAATGTTTTCGGATTAAAAAATAATAATAATAATTAATAATAATGGCCCGCAAAAGGCCAAAAGTCAATTTGCGTTTTTTTCTTTTTTTGTTTTTTTTCTTTTTATTCTAGCGTGAGATCCACGCTAGTCTGCAGCCACACGTGATCCACGCTTATTCTCACGCGTGTTAGTTTATTGGGCTGAGTTTTGTTGCTGGAGTTCGGTTGGCTAATGCACAATGTAGAGGGCCCAAATCCATTTTCAAGCTACTACTATCCCCGTTAGTTTATTGGGCTGAGTTTGATTGCTGCCGCCCTGTCCTCTAATGGACAAAAGACTACGGGCCCAAATCGATTTTCAACTTTCAAGCCAGCAGCCCGGCCTCGTGAAATGAAATTTAGTTGATGTTTTCTCTTTTTTGAAAAAAAACGTTTTGTTTTTTAAATTATATTAAATTATAAAATATAAATTATTAAATTATGAGAGCTTCTCTTATAATAAATGAAAGTCTGATTAATATTTTATAATTTAAATTGTGAAATAGTAGACGTTTTGTCGTTTTTTCTTTTCAATCATGAAAAATGATGCTAATGAATGTTTATTTACCAAGACCCATTAACTACAATCCCATATAAGGTTAGATTATGACTGATTGGTTCAAGTGAATGATTAAAGCCGAATAAACATCAAAATCAAGGATTAGAGAAAAGCCATGATTATAAAGGATATAATCACTTTCAATGATGTGATCCTTATCAATGAAATACAATGTTTAGCTTAATCCCTTCAAGAGATCAATTATTTCATGACATTATGATTAACATTGATAGAAAGAAACGAAGATAAAAATAAAATTATATTTTTTATTTACGTTCTTTGAATTTGAAAGAAATCTTCAATTTTTTAAGATGTTAATTTTCTCATCTTTTTCATCTTTCTAAAATCAAATACACACTTAAATAAACTCTTTTAAAACTTTTAACAAATTAGTTTTATGCATTCCCTATGTGATTGCAGTGGCAGCCACACTTCTCTAAAGTGACAATTAGGTCAAATGCATTTCAGTTCGTAGGTTAAGTTCCAAATTTAATTTTGTTCAAACAAATATTAATCTAACACTGTATTTCTTCTTGTAAAAAAAATATATATATATATAGTTTTACAATAAACAGAATTTGTTAGGGAAAATATTCTCTACAATCCGTTGGTTGTATTATTAACGGTCTTCATTAGATAAAATGGGCATGTGTATTTCTTTTATTTCAATGCAAATGAACATTAGTGATTAAAAGAGACTAGAAAGAAACAAAGGTGAACATAGCTGGTATAATTAGCTTTTCCCTTTCTCATCTCGAGCATTTCTTTTGATGAATTCTTCAATACCTTTTCTTTCCCTGTTTTTTTTTTTTTACTTTCAACACATGGTGTGCTAGCAGATGTCTATGTATTGGTATCAAACAAAACCAAGCCAATCCATCCATTTCAAAGATTACGAACCTTGATGGGAAATCGCATTGCGCGCACATGCATCTGCTATCAAATGTTCAAAGATCAAGCTGTAAAGGAGCATAAAGAAGAAAGATATAAAAGGTCTGACTAACATAAAGTTCAGAGCCATTGCTGTTAATGTCCATGACAAAACATGTTGCACAACATAAAGCAAAACAATAGTGACTAGCTAGCTAGAATGATACTCTGAACTTTAAAACAGGACCACCACAGCTATCATTTGTAAATCTATCGTGACCAATGTCACGAACCCATTTTCCCTTTTTGCTATTTGATTTAGACATATCCTTGAACCTTGATTAATTACATGAATTCGTCCGTCATGATTATGGTTTACTTTGATCCCTATTGCATAGGATACTTGAGATTTCATTTGGATCTTCTCATTATTGCCCCTCCATTCTAAAACCCAAGACGATGCTGCACTGCATAGTGGCACCTAACATGATCCAATCTTCAAACCATTTTGCATCTATTTTGAATGGTCAAAGGATCATGATATGATTTCTTTGTTGAAAGTGTGAATGTGTCCTTGAATGACAGCATTGGAGAGTAGTATTCGTGACTATTAATTCAGCTGAATGAATCTGACCATATCACGGTTGAGAATGCAATGTAACAAATGATGAGACAGCTAGTGACTTCCCAACTCTCTTGAGAACTCCCATATTTCTGCCTTTTTTGTCTTTTGGTTCTTGTCTTAATGAACCTAACCCCGACATTAATTTGTAAAATTAATAAAGGAGTTGGATTAAATACGCAACGAAAAGTAAATTTAATCACATAATTACGTTAATGTTACATCAAATGATGGGAAACTAAACTAATATGATTTCATAAAGCTATCTGTCTCAAGTTTGGACTAGTGGCAGAAGGGCCTCTCTCTTGAGATTACTTGGCTCGCAGACATTTTTGAATCTATTTTTAAAAGTGAAAGGAGAATCATCATCAAATTCGACGAACTTAATTAAGCGGTAATTTGTGATCACTAATTCTCACAAATGGTCATATAGCTAGTGACTTCCCACCTCTCCTGAAAACATATATACACATTCTTTTGATTCTCATTGCAAGCTTTTTGGGTAAATGAATGGGATTAGATGTACAGTGGAAGGTGTTTAACGACCAGATTACGTTAATGTTAACATGAAATCATTAGAAACTAACTAATGTGAATACGAAAGGCTATGTCACAAGTTTGTTTGAGAGGTGAAGGGGCCAAGTTATATTGTGATTACTTGGCTACCATCCGAAGTGCTAAAAATTAAACCAAGATTTGAGTATGGGAAATGTCCCATAAGTAAGGGGTTAGGTATATACCGAAAACTTTGAGGTTAGGCTATCTGCACTCTTCTTCCCAATATTGCTTAGGGGCTACGAGATTAGAATTATGGATTACTGTAAATTAGTCAAAATTTTCAAAAACACTCATGACTTGTATGTACTTTCGCTGCACATATAAATTTTAAATAACATAAATATATACTAAAAAATTAATAAATTAATTAATATGAATGACTTATCTTTAATTAATTTAACAAATCAATGATATATGTAAAGGTAGCAAGTGCCTAAAAGTGCAGGGAAAGGCTAAGGGAACATGACTTGAGGCCATTTTCTTTTTGGATCACAACACAAAAACAGCCAATTTGACAATTTTCTTAGTGGGGAAGTTGGTTCAATTGGGAAGAAAGGAATAACAAGAACCGGCATGAAAATGTCATATTTGATCAAACACTTATATATAAACAAAATCGCAGAAAAGAAGGAGAATACCCTGGAATAGAAAAGGAAAATGATTTTAATATAATTTTTTTATCTTATTTTTTTGTAAAATCTAACATGTTATTTAAATGATTAATTTTTTTAATTTACATGAAATTCATGATATTAAATGTATCAATTTATTTAATAATATGTAAAAATTATATCAAAAAATAATATAAAAAATAATATAAAAAAATTATCGTCAGCACCACCCATATTTTAAAGAAATAGTAGTGTCAAGATTAAATTGAACTTTCCCCGGGACCATTTGGCCTGGTAATCGCCATGTGATGAGGGCAGGGCCCCAGAAGTTATTGGTTGCTTAATGTTGCAAATTTTTTTGTTGTGCACATCGCTTTCGGTCCTCCTTTTCTTCTCCTACCACTTCCCGCCAACTTCTTCCCCGTCCTACCTAGCTTTTTCACGGGTCATTTCACTTTCTTCCCAATCCTTTAATTTGTGTTTATCATCTATTTTTAACCCTCTATTTTTAACGCCAACCAGCTGTCCTAAATGATTTTTAGAGTTAACGAGTATCTTTTATGTATAACCTCTATGTTATTTGACTATTTCAATCAAGTACACTTGGTAACTTTTGTTCTAAATAAACTCTTTGAAGTAATTTCTATACATATTATTTAATTCTCTCCCTTTTTTTTCTTAAATTTTAAAGTTAGTTATATTTTATTGTAAAAATTTGAATCTTTAATTTTAATTTTAAATTAAAGCCTTTAATTTAGTTAATACAAATTCAATCAATTAATATTTTTAAAAAAATTATATTATCTTGATATTAAAAATATCAAAATATTTAATCAAAGTTATTAAATATATGAGATATAGTATAAATATTAATTTTGTCAAATTTACTATTACATTTTTAATATCAAAACACTCTAGTTTCCTTTTTCGTTAAGTTCTTATAAATATTTAAGTCTTTTTACAATACACAATAATTACACTTTAGGCAAAAATAAGTTTTTCAATTCTAGTTTTAGATGTGTGATTTTTTTTTTTTGAACAGTGTGAAATCTTTTTTTGGAGAAAGGGGAATAGGGAATTGGGATTTGATCCCAAATTATTCTAGTCCTAGGCACGTTCCTGCAAGGGGTATCGGTTGGGCCACCGAGTGCGGCTAGATGTGTGATTTTGATTAGTAATCATGTGTATTTTGTAATGGACTCTGTAATCTATAAAAAATAAAGGGAATAATGATAATATAAACAATAAACAAACAAAAACTACTAGTGAAGAAGAAAGAAAAGTATTAAAATATTAAAATCGGTTTATATAACATTCACATTAAACAAAGAGTCATTTCAACAACATGCTAACAGTAATAAAACTATCATCGGTTGTTGAACTTTTGAACGTTTAACTTTTTTTTTTTTTTTGAAAATAGGTAATGGAATTGAACGTTTAACTTAAGTGTAATAGAAATGCAATAAAAGGACTTACTCGATACTACTAAATTAATTAAAAGGACTTATTTAGAGGAATGTTAATAATCACGAAGTTAAGTATCCCACGTGGCACGAGCATGATCATTGGGTGAGCTTTTTAAGCAACAACTTTTTTTTTCTTTAAAAAAAAAAAAAATATTGGATTGGATAAAAGAGCGGGTGATTTGGAAAATTTAAGGACACAGGTACCTAGTATGCCAAACACTCACCGGCGTGGGGATTGGGGAGTAGCAGTTGCAACAACAGAACAGTAGCAGTCGGAGTAGTGAAGAAGAAGGAAAATCGATAGTGGTTGTTGCCGTCTCTGCTCTTACATATTCTTACCGTCTGGTACTCTCTTCTTTTTAAACAATCTAATTCCTCGCCTCCACTTCAACCACCACCGCCACCGGCTACCACCGCAACAGTTCTTTTACTTAAATCACGCGCTTGTTTTCACCTTCTTAATCTTAATCCTAGCTGATTAGGCAATGCGATTGAGATTATTCTTCTTCTGGTTAACAACCGCTCTCCGTCTTTGAATCTCTTCTGTTTCTCTTCTTCTTTCACTGCTTTCCGCCATGGAAGCATCGGAGAATTGCTCCGTCAAGGTCGCCGTTCACATTCGCCCCTTAATTGGCGATGAACGAGCTCAAGGTTGTAAAGAATGTGTGACTGTTACACCTGGACAGCCTCAGGTACAAGAGAGCCAGCTGAAAATTCAGCTGAAATCTTCATTGCTCCTTCACCTTAATTCTTACTGCCTTTGTTCAATTTGAGAAAAATCTATTGTTCTTGGTTAATTTTTAGTTTTCAATTTTTTTGTCGTTACTTAAAACATTCTTTTGTTTGATTCTTTCTCTGGACCATTTTTTCCTGACTTTTTTCTGGGCACAAAAAGGCCATGCGATAGTGGTTCAGAAGTTTCTGTAAATTTTTTCATTATCTTTCATTTATTTTGATATAATTTATTGTAAGTATATACCGACAATTTCATCGTTCCTACTGATTCTGAAAAATGGAAAAATCAATTTCAGACAGACTTTCATTGCATATAGACCTTTTAAATTTAATCTTATTACAGTGGTTATGGTGTTAGTATTGATCTCTTGATCTCTTTGTCTCTAACCTTAAACGGGGGAAATTTAAGCACTTAAGGTCTGGATAGTGAGTCTGAGTTAATATCATTGAAGGACTAGATGGATTGAAGTTTACATTCTCTTAAGTGCATGCCAGATGAACTGAGAGGAACTTGTCCAAAATCGAGCTATTTTTGGTAATTAACTCAGGTGGTATTCTTTGAAGTAGTATGCATACTTCTGTTTCTGTATGACATAAGGTGACAAGTATACAAGGGTGTAGCAATTGAGAGTGGTAGTGCTAGCACCATTTAATAATTTTGCAACTGGAATATATAGTAACATATGTGCTGATATTGTATGAGAGTTTCAAAATGTTAAGTGTAATTATTTTGGTTTGATTTTTAGGTCTTCATAAATTGTATGAACCTTGCCAATGTCCTTTTTGAAATTTGATGAATTAGTGTTGTAGCCTTCATTTTCTGTCTCTTGAAGTTATTGCTTATGGTTTATTGACTATGGTGCAGGTACAAATTGGCACACATTCATTCACATTTGATCATGTCTATGGAAATGGTGGTTCCCCATCATCTTCCATGTTTGAAGAATGTGTTGTGCCCCTCGTTGATGGGTTATTCCAAGGATATAATGCTACAGTCCTTGCTTATGGTCAGGTAATGTCTTTTCTTGAATGAAAGCTGCTAGAGGTTGAATAGCTTTTTCATGCCTTTATATTTGTTAGTAGCTAACAGGACAAGCACTGCAGACAGGATCAGGGAAGACATATACCATGGGGACTGGCTTCAAAGATGGTTGTCAGACTGGATTGATTCCTCAAGTTATGAATGTGTTATTCATGAAAATTGAAGAATTAAAGCATCTAGTAGAGTTCCAGCTTCGTGTTTCCTTCATCGAGGTATGCCTGCTTTATGGTTTTTTTCCTTACCATAATCCTAGATATGTTCTCAGAGTCTCTGTCAAATTGTTGTAAAGCACATGCCCTAATTAAGATGAGTTCTTCTTAATGACCAAAAAGGCAGCATAAGCCTTTTTACTTAAAACAAGTTGGAAAATTAGCCTTACTGCTTCTGTGGATTGACATGTGTTTTGTTGTGGACCTCATCCTCTGGAATGTTCATACATCTTTCTGAGTTACCATATTAATAGGAGAACTTATTTATAACATCTCCATGACCTTAAAAACATGATGATGATCAAACTGTCTCTTCCTTTTCATTTTTATATATCAAACTCAGGGAGCTAACCTAAGGATTTGAATTTGAAGATTCTGAAGGAAGAAGTAAGGGATCTTCTGGATTCTGTCCCCATGGACAAATCAGTGACTGCCAATGGACATGCTGGGAAAAGTACAGTTCCTGGAAGACCACCAATACAAATTCGTGAATCATCAAATGGAGTTATAACACTAGCAGGGTCAACTGATATTGCTGTCAGTACGCTACAAGAAATGGCTGCATGCTTGGAGCAAGGATCAATGAGCAGGGCAACAGGAAGCACAAACATGAACAACCAGTCTAGGTAAACCCTGGATCTCTGTTCTGGTTTTTTTTCTTCATCCTTAAGGAGACATTTCTCATTGATTTGCAAGGCCAAACCATTTATAAAATATATCACTGAATTTTAATTTTGTATGAACTTGAGTCATCAAGAGCTGGTTTGGGGATTCTTATTGTGCTACCATGGGATCAATTCTTTGGCATCACTGATCTTACCCTGGTGCTTCCCATCTAAATGGTGCCCAGTATAAATAAACAGGAATGCAAACCAGTGTCAATACTCAATAGTCAAATATAGCAGACAATATAAGTTTAAGATACCTTGCAACTCTCAAAAGAACTATTACTTTCAGGAGTTGGACAATTATACAGTGAGCATGAGGCTGTTAAATAGATTTTTTTCTTTGCCTTTTTCTTTCTATATTACTTTTTAAATGCAAAGTGTGATTATTATCTGCAATTTTTTAAGAGAAATGTGGATTAAAGGTAATATGGTTAATGTTAGAAGGGCCCTTTTTCACTTTATATAACCTTTCTTTGGATCTTCATTATCTAACTGCATATGGTTCCCCTTTTTCATGTTTTCAAAAGTCGGTCCCATGCCATCTTCACGATCACATTAGAACAGATGCGTAAAATCCATTCAGCTTCTATTGTTAACAACTACACTCCATATGAGGATATGGGTGAAGAGTATTTGTGTGCAAAGCTCCATTTGGTTGATCTTGCTGGATCTGAACGAGCAAAACGAACTGGTTCTGATGGTCTTCGTTTGAAAGAAGGTTGATAGATATCTTCACCACTATGATGTTGTATCTCACTGTGCATGATGGGTATTAATATCTATTTTATTTTTCATGAGCAGGTATTCACATCAATAGGGGGCTCCTTGCACTTGGTAATGTTATCAGTGCCCTAGGGGATGAGAAAAAGAGAAAAGAAGGTGCCCATGTTCCTTACAGAGATAGTAAACTGACTCGTCTTTTGCAGGTCAGATTTTCTTTACTTAACCTATCTATGGGTTATATTTTGTCGCTCAAGTTTAAAACTAATGTTCATTGCTTAGGACAACTCTTATAATGCATTGCTCATCACCACTATCAAGTTGGATTAATTTTATTTTCCATCTGTAACTGTGTTTTTTAAAGCTGATTGACTAAACATAGATGGGTATAATATAGCATATTAAAGGCTTTGCTATTTTCTGGTCGCAAAACTCTTTATTATTAGTTTTATTTTTTTATTTTTTGTTATTGACCTTAAGTGCAGGCCCAATGAGTCCCACAAGCACTTGTGAATTGCCCTTTCCGCAAGAATTACCTGCTTAATTTCTTTTATTCTTCATTTGTGCTCTTATTCTTCTTGATATTGGTTCTGATCCAGGTTTTTGTTTATGCATTTTGTCAGGATTCACTTGGTGGAAACAGCAAAACTGTTATGATAGGTAAATCCTCATAAAGAATTTAACTAATTTCAAACTTTTATTATTGTGGCTGTTGGTCTTTCCACAGAGCTATGAATCTCTTCCTTGTTTGGTTTGATTTAATAATAAGTTGATCAATTTCACTGGCATTGCCAGTGCATTCTAGACAAATAATGATTGCTTGTTGATATATTTGAGAAGATCTATCTTCTTTTTCTTTTTCTTTTCTTTTCTTCTTCTTTTTTTTTTGAAATTCTGCTTCCTAATATCTAACCATGTTTTAAACCCATACTCTCTTCAAAGGCTGTATCATATGTGTTGTTTTGCAATTAGATATTGTTTCGAGATATCTTGATTTTTGCTGCTTAAATTCCTTCAATCTTCACTGACATCGTGTAAATGCATACTGTTTTTCCAGCTTGTATCAGTCCTGCTGACATCAATGCAGAAGAAAGTCTGAACACTTTGAAATATGCTAATCGAGCACGCAATATCCAGAATAAGCCTGTTGTAAGCTTCTTATTTAAGTTTCTTTCTAGTTTTGTTGCTATTCCCCCAAAACTTTTCATTCCAAGCTAGATACTCCTGATTTGAGTTACATCTACTGAAATGAAGAGTATTCCACCAGCTTTTTAAAATTCATTTACATTTTTGAACTTTTAATTTTTGGAAACCTACGGCATGTTGTTGTAAAAAAAAATTGTTATTACAAGTAACCAGACAGAAGTTTCCTCTTCTTGTGCAGGTGAATAGAGATTTAATGTCCAATGAGATGCAAAAAATGCGACAGCAACTAGAGTATTTACAAGCAGAACTTTGTGCTTGGGGAGGAGGGGCTACTTCAGAAGTACAGGTATTACATTCTACAGTGTTTCCATCATGTTTCACTATTATCTTTCACAGAAAATATTTGCCCACATGGTGGAAATAATGTTTGTGCTGAACAGGTTCTCAAGGAAAGGATAGCTTGGCTGGAGGCTACTAATCAGCAACTTTGTCTAGAACTTCATGAATATCGTAGCAGATGTGCTGTTATAGAGCAATCTGAGACTGATGTTCAAGTATGTAGATAGACGCTTTCTTTCTCCTCTTTTTAGCTTGTTTTCTTCTTTTCATTGGACCATTTCATTTCCTTAGAAACTTATAGAACATACATTCTATGAAGAGTGAGGAACCTAAAAGGGGCTTTCAGAGTATAGACTCACCTGATTTTCCTATGGATGAAGCCATGTCAGGTGAACCACTCATTTTGCTTGTATTTTATGGTCTGTTTAGAAAAACGATGCTAAATCTGAAACCAGACATGAAGCATGACTTCTTTCAATCTCAGTATTTCCCCTTTCCAAAAAAAAAAAAATACTATCACCTTATCTCAGAGGTGGCCCAATTTGTAACACACTTATTATCTTATATTACTGTATAACTTTTGCTTGTATTTTTAAAATTAAACCTTTATTTCTTTAACTTTTGCCAATTCTCACAGCTGAAAATTCTGGAGAAATTGATGAAGTAGCAAAAGAGTGGGAGCATACACTTCGGCAGAATACCATGGGTAAAGAATTGAATGAGTTAAACAAATGCCTGGAGCAGAAAGAGGTTTCATTTTTGCACCTTATAACTTATTCTTTTATTTGCTTGGTACAAATTAGGACTGTTAATTGTTACGTTTGAACTTTGAAATAGTGCTTGTTAGTTGTTATGCATCCAATATATGTAGTTTTAATCCTTTTTGGGGTAGAACCTAAATTTATCTATTATCTTTTGACCATGTCAGACCTCTACTTTCTATGCAGTCTGAGATGAAACTTATTGGAGGAGCTGATACTGAAGCATTAAAACAGCATTTTGGGAAGAAAATTTTGGAACTAGAAGAAGAGAAAAGAATTGTCCAGGTTAATGGAAATTCCTGAATTTTCATTTTTTCTATGCCTTTGTTTTAACTGCTAATGTTATGTAACACAACAGCAAGAGAGGGATTGTTTGTTAGCAGAACGGGAAAACCTTGCTGCTAATTCTGATGGACAAACTCTGAAAATGAAAGAAGTCAATGCACAAAAATTAAAAGCACTTGAGGAACAGGTGACTTATGATGTAGCTAATCCGCACCATATTTTCTTGAACTTATGCTCTTTTTGATTATTGATTTCCCCCCCCCCCCTTTTTTTTTTAATTTCAGATTTCAGATCTTAAAAAGAAACAAGAAAGCCATATTGAGCTTTTGAAACAAAAGCAAAGAAGTGATGAAGCAGCAAAACGATTGCAAGATGAAATACAGTACATCAAGGCTCAAAAAGTTGGTTTCTTTTTAGGCTCTTTTTCCAGGTTTATATCTGAACAATAAACTTTACTGTATCTCAGGATTTGGCGATATGTATTTTGTAGGTTCAGTTGCAGAATAAGATAAAACAAGAAGCTGAACAATTTCGACAATGGAAGGCCTCTCGTGAGAAGGAATTGTTGCAGGTTCTTCTCCTTCCACCAATAATACAATCTAATTTCATGCCTCTCTTCCTCATCTTTTCCCATAGCTTCGAATGCCAAAAGCCTTGTTTCTTAAAACTGTAATTGTTTCTTTTATTTGCTAAAAGCAGTCACAAAGTTCCAGCAGGGGATTGTGCATCAACTTTGAAATTGGTTTCTAGATTTAATTGAAGTCCATGTACATGGTGCAGCTTACTCCATCGTGTTCCATTCAACATTTTAATTTGCATATCTTTATCAAAAATTATTGTGATTTTTCTGACGAAATGTTTTATTTTTTTAGGCTCCTTTCCAATTTTCTGCTGTTGACCTAATCTTGCCTTATAATTGCTACTTTAATTCATACCAGACTATTTTCTATTAAACTTTTCTTCTTATTACTCTATCCTTTTGAAATCAGTTTGTACATTCAACAATTGTTTTAGTTTGTATCCTGAGTTTCTTTTCCTTTATACTGCTAGTTCTTGTTCTCTACTTAGTTTTTTATTTCCATTTCTCTTGAGCAGCTCAAGAAAGAGGGAAGGAGAAATGAATATGAAAGACATAAACTTGAAGCCCTGAATCAACGACAAAAAATGGTAAAAGAGTTAAATCTAGACAGTATTTGTTATTTTTATATATTGCATAACTGGGTTGAGCTCTTCTTTACATATACCTCTACTACAGATCAAGTGAAATTTTTGACAGCTTCCATGGAAAGAATTTTATTGCATTTATTCCCTAAAGGTCCTTTAAATTTTAGTATTATTTGATAAGGTTGTAGTTAGGTTATTACTAGCAAGTAGCAAGTTCTTGAATCAGAGTGAAATACCCTCTCTTTTTTTTTCTTTTTTTTCTTTTTTTAAATATCTCTTAAATTTTCACCATCACTAGTTCAAATAAATCTTGCCTCTAACAATCTACTTTCTCTTCCCAAATGATCTTGATAAGTGGGTAGCCTATGGGTATTCTCGCTATTTACTTTTATTCTTTCATATGTCTCCTTTCGTTTTTATAGGTTATTGTTAAATCTGGACACACCCTTCAGTGGGTTTCTTTGCAGTCCATATGCTGAAAATTTTAGATTTTTATTGCATTCGTGACCAATGTATACTTTTTTCTTGTAGGTTCTTCAAAGGAAGACTGAAGAAGCTGCAGTGGCTACCAAAAGGCTGAAGGAATTGTTGGAAGCCCGCAAGTCAAGTGCACGTGAAAATATAGGTAGACCTTGCTGGTGAAATTAATCCATCATCGAGTCATTGTTTCTTTATTGTGTTACTAATTTTTTTATTTTTTTTTATTTTTATTTTTTTTTTGGTAATATCTTCAGTGAATGCCAATGGACATACACCGAGTGGACGGGTAAGATTTGCACTTAAGCATTTCCATGTAGAGCTATATATGTTAATCTAGAAACTTAGCCCTGTTTCTAGATTAGTTATTCAGGCTGGGCCCCACCAGTCCTTATCAGCAATGCCAAAACTAGTTATTTTAGAAACAAATGGAACTGGTTTAGTTTGTGCTCTTTCTTAACCTGATTTAAAATGTGGACTGGGCAGTTTCTATGTCCAACCTTTGCCTACTTGAAGGCAAAGATTGATTACTTTGGTGTTATTTTTGCTTCATATTAAATGTTAGAGTAATTTTCAACTTGATATTTTCATCTTTAGAGCAATGAAAAATCGCTGCAAAAGTGGCTTGTTAATGAGCTAGAAGTCATGGTTAATGTGCATGAAGTTCGTTATGAATACAAGAAACAAAGCCAAGTGTAAGTACTCATCATATATGTTGTTCCACATAAAAACTATTTTAAGCTTTCTGATAGTCTGACATTCATATTGATCCACAGGAGAGCTGCTTTGTCAGAGGAGTTAACCATGTTGAAACAAGTGGATCAGTTGTCTTCCAATGGTCAGAGTCCTCAGAGATTAAGGAATGGACATTCCAGGTATATGCTATGAAATTATGTGTATATATATATATATATATATAAATGAGTAGGAATCCACTTACACACAAGTTTTACACACCACACTTACAAAATCTTGGCTATTCATCTCTTCACTTTTAATAGTTGAGATTTAACACAACTTTTTAAATGAAAAAAATAATTATTTTTAATAAATATAATAACAAGTGAATAAATCTAAACCATTAAAAGAGGAGAGATGAATGGTCAAGATTTTACATAAGTGTAATACGTAAAACTTGTGTGTAAGTGGATCCCTACTCTCTCTCTCTCTCTATATATATATATAGATATATATACTCAGAATATCATGTATAGGTTGAGCTGAAATGTTAGGATCATATATTAATAATGCATCTTATGATATTTACAAGCAAGCAATTTTAGTTTCCTGACATTTTTTTGTTTCCCAATCAATAAGATTGTTATCTATGTCGCCACATGCAAGAATGGAAAGAATAGCTTCCCTTGAGAACATGCTGAACATGTCTTCAAATGCCCTCATGGCAATGGCTTCACAACTTTCAGATGCAGAAGAAAGGGAGCGCACTTTAGTTGGCAGAGGGAGGTGGAGTCAAGTGCGGTCTATGGCAGACGCCAAGAACTTACTTCAATATGTGTTTAATGCTGCTGCAGAAGCGAGGTGCTTTACTGCCGTTGCATGAATCTAAATAATTTATTTTGACTTGTCCTCTCTCAACTGGATTTTAGCATATTTATAACTCCATTAACTGGCACCTATAGTTAAATGAGGCAATATTTATGAACATAGAGGTTTATGATTTCCTATTTGATTGTTAATTACAATGGAACCTCTGTAAGCAGGCGCCAGTTGTGGGAAAAAGACATGGGACTTAACGAATTACAAGAACAATTGAATGAGCTCAAAGCTCTTCTATGGCAAAGTGAGTCCAAGAGAAAGGAGCTTGTGATGGAGCAAAACATGAAGGAACAAGCTGTAGCAATTGCCTTGGCTACAGCAGCTTCGGTGAGATTTCTGCATAGCAGTTAATTTCTGTAACACGTTACAATAGATTCAATATCTTTCTTTTTGCTTTATATATTTTAATGCATAAATCTGAATAATATCTGCAAGTACTCCAATGGCAATGAGTTTCTCAGTCCTTTTTAAGACAGGCTTAGACGATCTTTTGGGTTCTATGAAGGAATCAACCATAATCTCACCACCTATGTGAACTATAGAATACTTGTTTTGGTTTTAGTTATCAGTGCTGAAATTTCAGCATGGAATTCAACAGGGGCACTCGCGCAGTTCATCCAAACACATGGCAGATGATTTGAGCAGCCCTCTTTCTCCAATTTCACTTCCAGCCCCAAAGCAACTTAAATTTACACCTGAGGTTGTTAGCGGATCAATTGGAGAGGCAGCAGTTGTAGATCAGAAAAGAAAGGTAAATTTTCCCATCCTGTGCTATCTTTTGGGTTGTGATATTCCTTATCAATCAAGAAAGTAAGATGGTTGTGGTTCAGATGGCACCAGTTGGACAGTTGTCAATGAAGAAATTGGCCACCGTAGGACAAACTGGAAAGCTCTGGAGGTGGAAGAGAAGTCATCATCAGTGGCTTCTTCAGTTCAAGTGGAAGTGGCAGAAGCCATGGAAACTCTCAGAATGGATAAAACACAATGATGAGACAATCATGAGATCCAGACCTCGTGCACAGGCTTTGGTCGAAACAATATGACATCCTCATACATTCACTGACTTTTTTCATACTGACTCCTGCATATACACCTTGACTAGCATCTATTGTCTGACACGTGGCTTGACTGAGTACATGGATGCAGGTAATTCCCTTTCACTCTAATTAATTTTATCTATTTGCCTAGTTTCTGTGACAATAAAAGGAAGGCTGAAACTCTCTGGTGTTAACTCGGACTGATTTCATAGAAACCGGGGACATTATCATCACCATTTTTTATCTTTTCTGTTGGTTCCTGTTGCAAGTATTTCTAGTGAACATTTAAATAAAAATTATTTACCATTTCTGTCTTGGGGGATAGCGTTCAATTAGTCATCTGATTTTCTATTCTTTATTTTCTATCTAATCAACTGTGTGGCTGTAGGATGAACTATGAAGTTGATTCTCGTCATGAACACGAAAATTGTTTCTCTTACAATCTTGATCTTTTGCATGAAGCAGACGCGTTGTAAATATAGAAAGAGAAGGTGGTTCTTTTCATGGTCTTAATCCTGGCTGGGATTTTAACTTCTACAGGTAAAGCTTCACATCAATCATGTTCTCTCAGGCAGGCCTGCGGTTGCAAGCGTAATGTGAGTTCACGGTGCTTCTCTATTACAATGCAACTCTTTCTGTTGCTATGTCGTGCTGTATTCTTTCATTTTTTATCGCCCATTCCTTTGAATGAGAGATCTGCGAAATAAAAAATGTGTATGATCAACATTCCAATCACCACTTTGTATATAATATTATGTTATTTTATTGAACCTCGCAATCTGTTTCCATAATGTTAACAGTTGCTTTGGCTTATATAAGATGATGAGTGCCTCCTCCCATATTTGACGTTTCAACCCCAAAGTGTTCTGCATCCGGTAACTTATCAAAGTATCATTTTTTCTTCCCCTGAACCTGTGAATATCCACCCATTGCATTGTTCTCCATCAATGCTCTCTCCTTTATCTTTTGTATCATCTTCAGCACTTGCCACATTGCCGGCCTCTGCTCCGGCGATGTCAACCTGCAAGCACTGGCAACCTCCGTGAACATTCCGAGCCGGTTATATTCCCCACTGTCATCCTCTCTCACCGTTATAACCCAATCCAACAAGTCATGGGGCGTTAGAACTTGATGCTCCGATGGATGTTTCCCGGTCAAAAGCTCTAGTAACAGGACTCCAAAAGAATAAACGTCCGATTTGGGGGTGGCTCTGCGGCTGGACTTGCGTGCCTCGGGGGCTCTGTAGGCTGCAGAATCAGGATCTTCAACAGGATCTGAAAAGAAGGCGAGGCAGTAGTCGGTGAGACAGGCCTCAAAATCAGCCCCCAAAAGCACATTAGAGGATTTCAGGTTGCCATGGACAAGCTTCGAAGCTTGGTGAATGTAATTAAGACCCTGTGCTACATCTTCTGCTATCTTCAAACAGGACGTCCAATGCAGAGGCTTTGCCCGCGTTGATCTTGAACCTGTTCATAACCACAAGTTCATCATAGTTAACTGAGTCAAAACCCATGACTCACTGAGTAAACTCGGAAATTAAACCAAAAAAATGAAATGTATCGGGAGGGTTGAACGAAGCCTACCGTGAATCAGGTTGAAGAGACTGCCGTTTGGTTGATAATCATACATAATAAGCCTCTCTCCTTTGGACTGAAAATAAGCTCTAACGGGAACCAAATTTGGGTAACGGAGCCCACCGACAGTATCCATGTGTTCCTCAAACTCTTCACTTCCTACGATCGCCGTCTTGCTTGCGTCGACCCTCTTCACCGTTACAATTAACTGGTTATCAAGCACCGCCTTGTACGTAGTCCCAATGGTCCCTCTTCCTAGCAGCTCGGCGGAAGCTTTCATTAGCTGCTCCAGGTTGTACACTTCCGCCTCTCCGGCAGAAAATACCAGATTCCCGCTCTTTCGCACTTTCTGAACCTCTGGTACTGCAACTTTGCTCTTTTTGGCTTGGAATTCCCTGTTCTCTTCAACTTGAGATGCAATTCTTGGATTTGTTTGATAAGGATCGGAAGCCGCAAGAGACGACGGTGGCTTCGCTTCTTTTGAATCTGATTTGCTGCTCTGTTTTCTTACAAATGCCAGAGCTAACGAAAAGGAAGCAATTACAACAACGCCGACACCGAACCCGATAATAACACCGGTCTTCTGGTTCATCTTTGGCGGCGGGGGATGAAGAACCACGATTCTGTCACCTTGTGACTGCACGCTTTGCCCGAGCGGCGAAGATGCAGAGGAAGAACCATTGGGTGGTTCAAAGAACGGAGCACGCGAAGTGCACACCTTATTGATGATCTCGCCGCACAAAGAGGGGTTCAGCGAAAAAGCAGTCGTATTGAACCGCGACAAAGTCCGGGTTACCGGTATCGGTCCGGTGAGATTGTTACCGGAGACATTGAAAGTAAGTAGAAATGTCTGGTTCAAAGGCGGCACCGTTCCGTTAAAGCGGTTCTGTTCCAGCCGGAGCGAGTTCAACCTAGCCAAGACAGTTAACCCGGCCGGAATCTCACCGGTCAAATTATTAAACGAAAGATCAAGAGAAGATACTCTATGGAGAAGCAGAACGGAAAGAGGGAAGGATCCGGAGAAGCTATTATGGTCCAAAAACAGAGACTTAAGATTGTAAAGGGAGGAGAGCTCAGGGATGGGGCCGTAGAGGGAGTTGTTATGGAGACTGAGGACACGGAGCTGGTCGAGGCGGGAGAGGGAGTTGGCGGGAAAGGTGCCGCGGAGGCCGAAATTCGGGAGGAGGAAACGGACGACACGGCCCTGGGCGCACTTGACGCCCTTCCATTGGCAGTAGTCGAAGCGCTCGTTCAGGATGTAGAGAATCTTATTGTCAAGGTCGGCTTTGGCCTTGAAGGATAGGAGCCAAATGGCGTCGCCGGGGGAGAGGTTGGTCGGCGGCGGATAAGTAACGGGGGCGCAGAGGGTGAGGGAGCAGAAGAGGAAGGAGAGGAGGAGGAGGAGGAGGAGTTTAGACATTGTTGGAGTTAGCGGCTCTGCAAGTTCTCGTTTCTGTGTATTTGGAGGGGATGAATATGATGAGTCATGAGAGTGAGTTGCGGAGCAGCTGGAACTTCTACTCAGATTGCGCAGAATGTCACGTGAATGTGGGAACCGAAGAATTCGCGGGTGGTGTTGTGTGTCTGTTTCAGCTTCCCCACCTTCTCTGGTACGCGTGCAGTTTAGTCCATATATATTATATATATTTAAAAATATATTTATAATATTACATATTTATTTTTTAAATATTATATTATAAATTTATTATTTTATATGAGATTATAATTGTAATATTATTGTTAAAATTACCAATGAAAATTGAAAAACACAAATTGAAACACTTGGCTTTCATTTAAATTTAAGTTTTTGTAATCAGTCTTAATTTTAATTAATACTATTATTTTTATCTCAAAATAATAATTATTTTTTATTTAAAATTTATTTCATATTAATTTTTTTTATAATTTTAAAGTATATAAATATTTTTTCTTAATTTATGGGGGAAAAAAGGGAACTTAAGTTTGTGTGATTTGATAGGATCCATTCTTTAATATTCTTTATAATCTGCCAATTACATATTTAACTCAGAAATGAAAGGAAAAAAAAAAGGTGAGAACTTGCAACCGATAAACATTATAGAAGAGATTAGAACACGCGCCGTATTGGGGCGCGGATCAGGACGTAAATCACGTGTGTATTTTATTTCTATTCCGTAAAAACCGGCCTCTTCGCAATGACTAGGTATAAAGATGGAAGTGAAACAGTGGTACTGTTGGGACCTCCATGCGTCTCGATGAAGTCGAGCAGCAGTCAAATCTCAAACCTGTTTGTCGGCTGTGGTTATCTTCAAGAGGTTACGTTTAACGGTGAAATTGAAGGTAAATCAATTGAAAGGGTCAAGCCAATAGCTTCTTTACAGTTGATAATTTGATATGATACCTTGAGTGGTCTGGCCATAGTCACACAGTTTTTTTTTTAATTTGATTGTTATTTTATTAATTTATGAAATTTTTAAATAATTAATTTTTATTTTATAAATATTAATTAATAAATTAATTTTAATTTATGAAATAATAAATATTAATTATTTTATCAATTACAATATCATTTATTTTTAATAATCAAATTAAATACAATTAATATTTTTAATATCAATATTGTATGGCCTTAATTTTATAGTGTATGATCATTATCATACCCCCAAAAGGTGACGGTATGATAATGCGCATTATCATACCATAAATTCATTTAAGTTTTAGAAATCAAACATTTATAACATCCAACAATAAACACTTCACTAACGATCTGTTGGTTTAAGTAGAAAGAGTTCAATTTTCTTTAAATAATCATACTCCCAAAAGGTGACTGTATGATAATGCACATTATCATACCAGAAATTCATTTAAGTTTTAGAAATCAAACATTTATAACATCTAACAATAAACACTTCACTAACGATCTGTTAGTTTAAGTAGAAGGAGTTCGATTTCCCTTAAATAAAGTTTTGAGTTCGAATCTTATGACTTGAGAAATAGGTACTGAGAGAGTTTTTCCCTAATGAAATCCAATCTAATTCGATTCTAAATTAATCGAAATTCAATGTGATTATCGGACACCTAAGGTTAGTACCAAAAAAGCAATAAACACTCCAATTAATGTTAAAAAAAAAAAATAGACCAAGTTGCATATTTGCATGATGGATACCAGCTCCTATTGAATTTTTTTATTATTTTAAATTATATAATAAAATATAATTATTTTGTATTTCTAAGTGCATATCACTCAAATTTCATATAAATTAAATGTAAAATTTTTTATTTCTAAAAAAATTTACTATTAAATTATTTTAATATTCACGGTTGAATCTCATGTCATCCATGCAATTATTGGCTGGCATTATTTGTTTTGGACTTTAAGCTTACGGCTTATATGATGTGCTTAATTTATACACACATGTTACACAAGTTGGTAGAAATTGCTACATCATAATCTTATACAACAATTCAAACTTTTGTGAACTCAATGTGTTCATAGCTTTATTCGTACACATGAATTTCAGCTTATATAACTTCAACGTTCAGGCTAAAACTAAATTATTATGTTTTAACTCTAGTTTAGAAGATAGAATTCAAGGTTCTTGATAACATCATCTTTGAACCTTTTAATGATTAAATGTATGGGTAATTAAGTCCTAGAAGAATACCAGCAATTATTTCACGTTTTTCTTTTCCCTGTGCGTGTGTGGCCATTCATCATTTAAAGGAAATTAATCATCACTTTTGAAAAACCCAACTCATCTGCCCCCATCTTTCCAAGCAAACACACTTGAAAACCATGTGCCCAGCTTATCAGAACAGAAAACGGTACGTACTCATTTTCTGTTTTTTTCCCCCTCTTCGCTTGATGTCAATGATAAAAAGATGAGTGCTTGGTTGACAAAAAAATAACCAAAAGTGCGTTATGGATACTCCACGAGGGTCACGTCAATGTTGGGCTTTTTTATGCGAATTGTAGCAATTGGTTCAATTATTTGCCACAATGTGTTTGGTTATTTTAAAGTTTATAGTGGATTTACTTGATAATGTTTTCTTATATACAAACCAAATTTTAAAATAACCACATAATATGTGAATGTGAATAGATCATGTAGTAAAATCATTTCTTTTCCAATCATGACTTCAATTTTCATTATTGTTCCCCTAGCAATAGGCCCCTTAGTCCCCACCCAGCACCAAAAGTCCAATTTTCTTGAAAGTAATGGGTTGAGCAGGGAAAAGCAAGATTTTTTTCCCCTCCCAGAGGGCAAAGCAAGACTAGAGATAACGAAAAGAAGGCATTAGATGGTAGGGGTGAGTAGACACAAGTATGAGTTTGGTATATAGTTATATTGATACTTAATTTAAATAGTAACATATATAAGGTTTTAATAATTAGTAGTTATTTAACTATTAAAAATTTTTACTTGCATGCATATTTGCATACACATTAAATATTATAATCTTTAATAAATATTAAAATATAACTAAACATGTTCTTAAAAACATAACATTCTAGTTTTATAACATTATACTGCACAAATTAAGCATAAAACCAGAATATGATCATTATATTATAAAATTCTGATGTAGTTTCACAATTTCTATGTAAACTTTAATGATTTTTAACTTAATTAATGAAGTATTTTAGTTTGAGATTAAAGTATACCACATATTACTAATTGTCTCTACAATTAAGATTCAATGTAATCTCCTTACTTGTAAAAGGTAGAAGTAGAACCAATTTATATAATTAGACACAAGAAAAAGGATCACTAATGTATTAAGTGGATTCATAAAATTCTCAAAAACGTGATTTATGATGAAGTTAAAAATTTATCTATGTATATATGTGTGTACGAGTGCGTGTATGTATGTATTTAAATATATATAAGCTATATAGGTCAAGTCTATGCATATATATAGACCCTTATATATCTAGTACTTGATTTGATACTTAACATATATACATTTTTTACACCCAATATTTAAATTTTTTTAAATATAAATAAAATACCTATCAAAACAAATTAAGTACCTTCAAATATTAGGTATACCCATACATAACGCTCAGATCTAATAGACACGGCATAGTGGCTACTGGGCTCGGACAGTGAGGCGCACTAGTTGTGGACCATTTCTGAAAAGCTAACTGTATTGGACCAGTGAGGAGATCCACATGCTAGTTCTTGGACTCTGCATTCTGCCCAATGGGCTTTTATATCGTGTAAGTGGGTTTTAACCGCGACAGTTTGGGTTCGCGAATTGTGTTTCACTTGGGTAATATTTTGTTGCATCTTTGCTATTCTCCTTTTTTTTTTTTTTGGATTTAGCTATTCCAAGTTTCAATTCAGTACGCTAGAAAACTAGAACATGTCATGGAATGCGACTTTTTAATGGTTAGGTGGTAAACTAGACTTAGTTTGTACACACTAGAGAAAGTCCACAACAAATCATCTTAAGAGACTTGCCAAGAATTATTTTTTAATGGATCAAACCTTAATTACTTACAAAGAAGTAAATCATCATGAAAGTAGACATGCATTTATGGACTGAATTATTACATTTGAAATTGTCAAAAAAAAATTTCTTTATTGTAGTAAATCTTAGGCAAGTAGAACACACAATATTGAGGTAGTTGATAAAATAAGGTATTATCTGAACTATTTACTAAAAAAGATCAACCATCAATTATTTAAGATTTAATCCATAATCACTATATACAGAATAATTAAAAAATTAACATAAATATATCATGTTAAACTAAAACAGAATATTTTAATAGTACAAACATGTAATTTTTTTCATTTCATCCTTTACCCTTCAAAGAAGATTCATTAATATTATTTTTGTCTTTTTTTACCATAAACTATTATTTTTAAGTGTAAAATCTGCTTAGAAAAAAAACCATCCATATTCCATCATTATTTATTTATCATTAAATCCGAAACTGGAAGTCCAATATTTTTGTACATAATCACCCACATTTAACAACATCCAATGCCCATCAATTCAATCTTTCAAGATAGCAGGTAAATCGTCCCCTTCAATGACTACAAATCGACCAATTTTTTAAGGGAGGTTACTTGAAAACTAAACTTGAAATGAACAAGGAAAAGCGACTTCCGGTTTGTATTTAGTTATGGAGTCACTGCAAAAGCACCCCCTACCTTCCTCATTCCTCCACCCACCCCGGCTTTCTTCTTCGATCCTTCGTGATCTTTACCGGGTCAGCACTATTTTACAGTAATAAAAATCACAACATAAATCCCATATGGTGAAATTTGGTTTTCTAAACTACTATTAGGGTGATTATTATGTCGCCTTCATGCTGCTCAATTTCAATTTCATGTGAAGCAATCCTTTCTTTAAATCAAAGCCAATTTCCTCAGTCCTTTCAGTAATCCGAATTGAAATTTCGAAAGTAGGGTGGAGGTTGGTTCTTGTTCAATCTTGGAAAGAAGAAGATGAAGAACGGTAATGGTAATACCAAGTTGATTCTTCTCCATCCTTACATTCAGAAACAGGGGAGCTCCAATCGGTTATGGCTTCTTGCTTTTATTTCCGTCTTCACCATTGCTTTTCTCCTCACTCTTATATACACTAGGGAGTCGTTCTCGGCTAAAACGACGGTGGCAACAGCCACCGTCACTGGCCCTGTTTCGTCTGGCTCCAACTTCGGGAATGTGCAACTGTCGACGACTGTCATCAACACGCTTCTCCACTACGCATCGAGATCGAATGACAGTTTTAGCATGAACTACGCCGAGATGAAACCGATTTCGGATGTTCTGCGGAAATGTTCTTCCCCTTGCAATTTCCTTGTTTTTGGGCTGACGGCAGAGACCCTTCTCTGGAAAGCTCTCAACCACAACGGCCGCACGGTGTTCATCGACGAGAATCGCTACTATGCAGCGTATTTCGAGGAGTTGCATCCAGAAATCGACGCGTACGACGTGCAGTACACGACAAAGATAAGGGAAACGAGGGAGCTCGTTGCCGCCGCCAAGAAACAAATCCGCAACGAATGTCGCCCGGTGCAGAACCTCCTCTTCTCTGAATGCAAACTGGGAATCAACGATTTGCCCAACCACGTCTACGAAGTCGACTGGGATGTAATACTCATCGACGGACCGCGCGGTGACGGTCCCGAATTCCCTGGCCGGATGTCCCCCATCTTCACGGCGGGAGTGCTGGCTCGGAGCAAGAAGGGCGGGAACCCGAAGACCCACATCTTCGTTCACGATTATTACAGGGATGTGGAGATGATTTGCGGGGATGAGTTCTTGTGCAGAGAGAACTTGGTGGAACACTACGAGACACTTGCCCATTTCGTAGTGGAAAAAATGGAGGAGAACAGCTTCCAGTACTGCCGGAACAAGACATCATCGTCTTCTTCATCATAAAACTTCATCTTTTTAGAAAAAAATTCTATCTTCCACACATCAAGAACACAGTAAGGAGGGATCGAATGGTATGAAATTGGGTATTTATGATGATAATCTGACCTTTTTTGCTTGGTGGGGTGTGTAAAAAATAATTTCGTTCTTCCTTTTTGGCAATGCAAAATGTAATTTCCATGGAATCAAAAGTTTCATTCTTGGTTCTTCTTCCCTGGATTTTTCTTCCCTTTCTGATTAATGGATTATTTTAAGTTACAAAAATATCCCCATGTTTTTCAAGTTCATCAGTGAGGTCCATCACAAGCACAGGAATGTAAGCCTTCTTGTTCTTTATAGTTAAGTGGTTAATCAAGATGATGATATTAGTCCACTTCAGGTATATTACTACCCCTGTGCCTCTTTCGCGACTAAATTTTCAATTTTAGGAAATCAAGAAAAGTCATCTTGATTGTTGCAAATCCTGTTAATAGTGGTGAAATGAGTGACATTTCCAAATTCCAATATACAGATTCTCCTCTCTATTTATCATCCTAGGCAAAATATTCCTTTGATTCTCATTCTGAAGTGCTCACTTGACAAATGACCGGTTACTACGCTCCTTTTGTGTGATTTCTCTGTGCTAAGTGGTCCTTTATATTCTTTCTGCACATGCAGCCCAAGTTTGCTGCAGGTGCAGGGGAACCCATGGAAGTCTGCGCACAGAGGACTAGTGGGACAAAGAAGTTTGGAAGAGATGCTTATGGAGAGCATCTAGTCAGCAAAGTTCAAACTAATTTTGCTGTGTAGGAGCTTTATGCCTTTGTCTCAATTGCAATAGATGTGCTTTGAGATAAAAATAACAAGTTTCAGCCTTGTTAAGATGCATTTATTTGGTTCTTAATGTTATTGGGAAGCCATTTGCATTATGCATCTCATGCAATCTCTGATTCCTGGAGTAACAAAACAGGATATCATCCATTGAGGATGGATATCAAAATCCAACAACAAAGTCATGCCATGTAGCATAGCAGATAAAAAGAGAAGGCACAGCATGACAAACAAATATCATAAAAATTTTCAAGTGTGGTAACAAAAATCCACTCAAATCTAGCGTCTTTCTCCTCTCTAGCAAAATTCAACTTATCCATCCCATCTGAGGGGTGTATATAAGTACAACAAGAATAAATACCTATCAAAATCCAGTAATGAGCGGCAATCTTTCTTTGCTTGAATGCCTAATTCCAATACTGAATGGCCATATGATTGAAAATCAGTTCGGCATGTTTAAATCAGAAGAATGGACTAGTAGTAAAATGAATTTGTAGAGTTAGCAATAACCTGTGAGAACATTCTGATGTTTTTCCCCCAGAGTTCTAGACACCTTCAACACTGACTAGTGAATCAGGTATTCAAACCATCTGCTGAAGTTTTTTCCAAATGTGTATCCTTTTGATATAGTGGAATTCTGACACCTAGCTCCCTTAGCCGATCTACCAGACTATTAAGAAATTCAAATGTCAGTCTTGACTGAGCATTGAGATCATCTCTTACATGCAGTTGAATCTTGAACCAATCTCCAAGTAATTTGTGCACGTGAGAACGAACCATTCGCCAGGGGACAGGGTATTTTTCACAAAGCTTCAAATACTCCACAACCAGATCTGCCTGGTCTAAATTCCCATCTCTAATATTTTCTTCATTACCTGCTACCCATTCAGCTGTCCGAAATCCTGCAAAAAGAGCAGGATTCTCAAGAAGAGATTCAGCTGAAAGCACACCTTCTGCGCCAGTCTCTGCAACACAGTTCCAAACATCATCCATGTGCCGAATGTTCCCATTGGCAAGAACTGGGATTTTAACAGCATCTTTAACAGCCTTAATGGCATTCCAGTCAGCTCTGAATTTCTTCCCATCCTTCTCATCTCTAGTTCGCCCATGAACAGCCAAAAGAGAGCAACCAGCTTCCTCTAGCATCTTTGCATAATTGAGTGTATCCTGTAAATTAGGGAATACCCTGATTTTGCATGAGACGGGAACATTAAGGTTCAGAGCCAGTTTTTCAACCAGCGATTTCACAAGAGGAAGGTTATCCATCAGAAAAGCTCCATAATTTCCTCGCCTGGCAATCCGTTGAGGACACCTGCATACAGTCAATAAGATCATACATACACCATGAGTAGTTGACAGAGATTTGGATTGGTCTCTTAATATCATTATTGAGCTAATTACAATTCAATGTTCCTATTGGAATCCATGGAGTAAAGGATATTACCCCAGATTAATGTCAACATAATCACAATAGGGTTCCACTCTTTTTGCCGCTTCCAGTAATATATCAGGATCATTAGCACAAAATTGGACAAATAATGGGCGGTCCTCCTGCAAAATTCACCTAATCAAAGTTACCCTCCTTCCTAATTACTAATTAGATTGAAAAACAAACATTTAACCAATTTCCACAATGGTATCTCAAATGGGAAGGCATTGCAGGAAAACTGAGACTTAGTTAATCAAATATTGGTTACAGAAAAGGAAAATGATTCAATAAAACTACAATCATTCAGCTCAAAGCAATTTCTTACACAAACTTAGATAAGAAAGAGGCTGAAACGAATTATGAATAAAAAGTTTTCACCTTGCAAGTGGTGAACTCTTGATTACGATACTTCTCATTCTCTGTAAAGATACGCGAATGCAACATCGGAGTGTATGCAGCCTCGGCTCCATACTTCCTACAAAGCATACGAAATGGCAGCTCAGAGTTGTCGACCATAGGGGCAACAATCAACTTTGGCCTGCCGAGCTTGTTCCAATGCGCCCATGCTCTCTCCACCCGTGACTCTCCGCTCAAGCATCGAGGCGGAGATGCCACCTCTAACAGCGCCCTAAATTCAGTTGTAGAAGAAGACAAGTTCTCCCCTTGCTGTTGTTGCAGGTCACCGCAGATGAGTTCGTCGTCGTTCGCAGGTGGATCGAAGTGTACGGTTCCGGTTTGGGCTAGAGCCATGAGAGGGTTTGAATGAAAAAGGAGAGATTTGATAGAGGGATTTAGAGGGTTGAGTACAGAGAGCGGAAGAGCAGCTCTGACTTTCATGAACAGACGATTAAGGTTGACAGCCAACCCATCGCCGCCGCCGCCGCCGCCGCCGCCGCCGCCGTCTGCAAGGAATTTTGGAACGGCGTTGAAGGTTGCGTACTTGCGTTCCCGATTATGTTGGAGCTGATACTTTTGGGTTTAACTGTTTAAGCTGGGGTTTTTGCGAACTGGAAAGTGGCCGCAGGAGATCACGAATGGACTTGGGCTCAATTTGAAGTTCAGGCTTTAACATTGGCCCATTTCTAAACTTCATTTTTTTAAAAAAAATTTTAATGGTTTACCTATTTTGTACCCTGAACAAGATAAAAAATAATAATTGTATAATTATTATAATTTTTATCTTAAAATAGTAAATTTGACTCTTTTCTTTAATTACAAATGCATGTATTAATTTTTTATTCATTCATTTTGAAATTAAAATCATAATTTAATTTTTTAATTTAAAATTTCACATCTTTTAAAAAATGTAATAATTATTAATTAATTATTATTTTTTATCATGTACCATAATTATTGTTTTTTATTCTATACCATAAGGGTATAAAATAAACATATCATTTAATTATACAATAAAAAGCAAATCTCTATCATTAACTAACTGACTATGCTTCTTCTTTTTTTTTGAGAATAATGAAATGGTTTCATTACAAAGACCGCCATACGGCATTTACAAAGATAACAAATAGTAAAAACAACTGGAACAAAAGATCAGAGTAGACCCATATCTAGAGGCTGAAGGGAGGTGCACTCAACACTCGAACAACCTCGGAAAAACCACAGCTTTCGGTCGATCGATCCATACGAGACACCCTTCTATCTACCTTTGAAGAAATAGCACCAGGCTCCAGGATGTCGGGCGGTCACCCGATCTGGCAGCAGAAGTCCCTCGGAACCAGTAGGAGAGCCGCGGTGGGTGTCAAATCTGGTAGCCTTCGCGCGCGTCCCCTCATATCCGCCGGAGGAGAAAGAAGGGCGCCGGATCTGCACCAAACAGAACAAAAGAAAAAACCAACGAGTCCCTACCAAGATCAACAGGAAAGAGCCGAGGTTCACCGGATCTGAAAAAACAAACTGTACAAGAACATAAAACAAAACAAAACAACCAAAAAACAAAAAACCAAAAGGGGTCACTGGAAAGGGACCCAGAAACGACAAACCCCGAAGGGTCAT